ACTGCATTTTGTTCCTTCTCTTTGTCATTTTGTATACCACTGTCTTCTGACCTTTGGTGTAGAGCTTAGATAGAGTTATTACCTTAGCACCAGGTCTGGATCTATGAAGCTCAGATTCCTCCAGGTGGGTGGTGTTTGGATCTGGCTGCTGTGCTCCACTTCTTTCTGCTGCAGCCATTAGAGTTTAACCCTTTGTTTCTCTCTGGCAAGATGTTCTGCTCCTGAATCAGCTGGGTGGGTCTTGCTTTTAGCCTCTCTGCAGTGGGTTCTGCTGAAGGGTTCAGCACTGGGCCTGCACTCTGGGTTGAATTAGGATCCGCGGGCCCTGGGTGGTCTCACTCACACGCCAGGCCTGCGCTCTGCATCTATTCAGGATCCGGTAGGCCCCGGGTCGTCTTGGTGTATTTTTAATTTGTGTATCGAGGGGCTATTTTAAGGGGACTTATTTAATTGGACTTTGTGCAACCTCACTTGAGGGTGTGTTGCTGAGCAGTCTTGTGCTTGTCTCTGCTAGGTACCCCAGAAGTATTACTGACTTAAAACTGCTACGTACTTTTTATATTTTGTATGCTGTTTCTTTATTCTTAAAATTTATTATAATTTTAGTTTGTTAGTCCATGTTTTCAGGACATAAGGTTACATTCTTTGGGTGGAGTTGGCATGTGTTCATGAGGTGGCTGCCTGTCTTCCCCTTTTCATCCTTCCCTCCATCTTGATCTCCTTCCCATTTGAGAAGGCTCTCTCTCCCTGCTGCCTAGTACCTATCTTTCATTTTATTCTTTATTTATAATTTGCATGATTGCTCTCACTAATATTTGAAGTGCTATGTTGAATAGGAGTGGAGAGTATGTCTTAGCCATCATGTGTTCTGCTAGTGGGACCCTTGTTTTGTTCCTGATTTTAGAGGAAAAGCATTCAGTTTTTTCCACTTAATATGAGGTTGACAGTAGGTTTGTCATAAATGGCTTTTATCAGATGGAGATAAGATCCTTCTATACCTATTTTCTTCACACTTTTTATCATGAAAGGATGTTTGATTTTGTTAAAGGCTTTTTCTGCATCTGTTGAGATGATTGCGTGATTTTTGTCCTTGCTTCTGTTTATGTGATGTGTTATATTTATCAATTTGCTTATGTTGAACTGTCCTTGCATCCATGGGACGAAACCTACTCGACTATGATATATGATCTTTTTGATGATAAAAACTACTTTTTATGTTAATTTTACAGTCCAGAGATCCTTGGATCATGTAAGTAATAAAAGTTACTCAGATGTAGGGGGCCAGGGACATAGCTCAGTAGAATAAGTGCTTGCCTGGCAAGTGCAAGGGGCCTGAGTTCTATCCCCGGTTCCACCAAGAAAAAGAAAGTTACTCAGATGAGGAAGCACTCATGGTTCTGAATGCCAGGGAAGTTTTTTCTGCTCAGAGTCTAGGATGAGTTATATAGGCTTTCCTGTAATCCATCTGGGTAGCTCCGTGATGGTTTGCTAGTTGTCTTTCTAGGAGGGCTACTGTTCTGGCCATGACTTGATTTGCTATTCTAATTCCCCACACTGTTCCTTACAGGCCCAGCATCTTGCATCTTTTTCTGATCTATGAATGAAGACCTCAGTTCCTAAACTAAGCTTCTGCTGGTGCACTTACCCTCTGGCTTGCAGTTCTGTTTTCAGCCCCCAAGGAATTTTTTTTTATTATTATTCTGTGAGCTTCACCGTGCCTTAAAAATACACTTGACATATGCTATCTAATATATTAGATTTGTAATAGGAGGGATTTCAGGGGATCTCATCAGCCATATTACCAGCAACATATCCCGTACATACAATTTAAAAAAGACTCTACCCTCTGGGAATGCTTGTATTTTGTGCAGCTGGAGGACTAACTCCTTGCTGCGAAGGGTGAAAGAAGGGTGAAAGGGGTTAGGAGGGTGTGGGGGCTGGGAGGCATGGCCAGTAGGGCGTTGTAAGGGAGCACCCTCTTCCCAGATGTCTTCATCCACATTGCTCCCTTGCTATTCAAATGTGGTCCATGATCTGGCACTGGGACATCACCTGACAGTTTCCTGGAAATGTAGTCTCAGGCCCCCTGCTGGACCTGTTGATTGAGATTCCCGGATGCTGTGTATGTCTATATGAACTTGAAAAGCAGGGATGTAGGCTACTTCTGATGTGACTGCCATCCATAGGATGATGGCTTCTTTGGAGTTAGTGACCTTCTTTGACTCTTGTCATCGTTTGTGGTTTTAGGGCCCCCCCTCCAGTTCATCTTTAAGCTTTTTAAAGCACTTCCCTGAAATGGCTCTGTACTGAAGTTTTTGGGGCAGGTTCTTATTGGTGATGTACTGCGTGGAGGAAATGTTAATGTGACACTTTGTCATTCTGAATTGACAGCAAAGACTTACTTAGCCCGTGGAGCAAAGGCCTTATGAAATTCTCAGGGCATTTGCTTTCTCCTCAGCTCCGGAGGATGGAGAACTAAGAAGAGGAAAAGCACCCTGAAATTCAGTACAGGCAGGCCAGTTTTACTGGGGTGTTTTTCTCTGCATGCCTAGCACCTTCTCAATTGCTCACCTGACAACTGGGCTTAGTAGGATTTCCCGGCATAGGGAAAAGTATCTTTTTAAGCAGATACAAAATCATACTGGAAAGTGACCTAGAGATCATACAAGTTGCTTTGATGGCTTCACCCGCTAGAATTATTGTTTAGTGAATTCAGCTAGCAGATAATTTACCAGTATGTCTGTGACCTGTGGGGCTGGGCCACCTCTAGACTGAACACCCTGTAGGCAGACACCTTACCTTTTTGTTCACTGCTGTATCTGTAGCTCTTAGTGGCTGGTACATGGTTGATGCTTAGTAAAAAAAAATTTTTTTTTTGACTGAGAGAATTGAGGTTTAATGGATGAATAAATGAATAAATTAAATGTTGAATTTGTTGTTAGCCTGAAGGACCTTAGCATTTATTTTTCCTTATTTTTCTATGAGTACTTGATATTTACAATTAGAATAAGAAGCGTTCTCTGTGTCCACCAGTCAGGTGTGAGTTGAATAAACAATGGTGTACCATGGAGTTGTGAAAGGAGTGAAGGGTGGCACACGCCTGTAATCTCAGTACTCAGGAGGCAGAGGCAGGAGGATTGTTGCAAGTTCAAGACCAGCCTGATCTACAAAGTAAGCTCAAGGCCAGCCTGAGGTACATAGCAAGACTCTGTCCCAAAAAGACAGACAGAGAGACAGAG